AGAGCTAATAAACAGATTAAAAGGGCTTCTTCCTTTCTTACTTATTTCCCAGAGTAGCATGAAGCCTGAGGATAGTTTCGTGCTCTTGTGGTGTAAAAAGTCCCCTCTTTAGGCCAGGCCTCAAATAGTTGATCCATCGGAGCCTACAACTCTTCCCATTCCTTTGCAAACCTGCATTTACATTACCAATTTACATTGCAACTAATTGTATATCAAATTTTCTCCTTCTAACCTCTAAGCCAAAAATTTAAACCCTCAAATCTTCACAAAAATTTCGAACAACTAAAATGTGGCTGCATAAGTAAATGAGAGTTACATCCTCTAAAATTAGTTTAGTCTTACATAAGTAAGATTAAACTAATTTTGGGTGACTACGCAAAAATTGGGACGAATACTTTCTGAAGATATTTTTTAAAGCATTAAGACAAAAGAAAAATGCCGTCAGATGTATTAGAAATTATTTTCAAAGTTGCGGAAATTTTTCCAGTTTAATGATCAAAATAACAATAATGATGATGACAACGATAATTTAACTCACCAGCTCTAATGGGAACCGAGCTCCAACAGCCATGGCCAAACCTAAGGACATAGTCCCTCAGCCTCTGATCTTCATCAGGAGACCACAAACCTTTCTTGTATTTGGGTTTAGGAGTCTCACATGATTTGCACCCCATTGAAGCTTGTTATGGAGGAAGATTAAGGACAATGGAATGTCCAAACTGTGGTGAAATTTGTATCAAGGAATTCTATCAAGAAAATGGTTTGCTGCAAGAGAGAGATGGTGCAAATTGGACTGAGGTATTCTGACAAGAGAGACGGGGAGAGGCTCAAAATGAATATTGAGTGTTGAGATATTGGGAATGGAACAATAAGAGAGGCTTATAAAAGGCCAGGTTCTATTAAAATATGTAACAAATTGTTTTGGAAATGCAAAATATTAAGTAGGAATTTTAGGAACAGCGAATAGCAACATAGTAGGAAGAGATTTAAATATTTTTCATATAACATAGGTTTAGGGCAATTTTAATATGGATGCAGTTTCTATAAGCCCTAGGCTTTATGAAAAAAGTGTAAAGCCTCACCTCAAAACCTCGTCCCGAAAACACTTTGGGTGTGAGAAATATCTATGATGGGTCTAGAATCAATATCCACCACCGATTTTGAACTTTGAAGCTAAAAAATTAGTACAGATCTTGCGAATCTGTGAACATTTGAAAATGGACAGTTTAGATGATTTGTTACAATATGCACTATTTTAAGGCTTGAAATTACAATGTTTTTTTCACAACCATAAGATTCAAAGTAGCAGTGATCGAATTGATGAGTTTCTGCTGCCAGAAGTACAGATTTTCGTGCAGTTGTGAGATGAGGCTTTACTTTTTCCCGTCAAGCCTAAGCTTTATTTTAACCTTTTCCTAATATATAGTTCATATGTATCACACTGTTTTCTACCTAGTCTGGGTGCTTCGCTGGCCTAAATTCGGTGCTCGGCTCTCTATTATTTGCCCGTTCAATTCCTTTTCTTGTGGGGTATTTCTTATTCTTTTTAAACAAATTTAATACGGCTTCACAATAAAGAGTAAATTATTGCTTATAGTGACAAATCAACAATACTGTTCTATTCTATGAACCTTGATGAAATGGAAAGAAAGAAAATAGGAGAAACTAAAAAAAGATAAAGCAAAATAATGCAAAAGACAATTTTTTTTTTTTTTTAACAAATTTTACAACACATTCTTTCTTGTTAATCTATAGTGAAACCGTTTTTTTTGTAAGGCTCTCATAATGATTTTGAGAAATATGTCTTGTCTTAGCATGACTTTTTGCTTTTGATTGGAGCAGCCTACCAAGAAGAGCTAATAGATACCATTCAAATATTTTTTAAAATGAAATTTAAAAAGAAAAGAAGTAGCAAATGAATCAAGAGCCCATATACTATGTTCTCGCGGAAGCATATTGTGCATCTATTCCTAGGGCCAAAATGATTGATTTTTTAGTCTAAATCTTTGGGGACCATATAAAAATTACTAGATGATTGTTTTTAAAAGAAAAATTGAAGTTTGAGCTTTGTGACGCCTAGATTTAGCCCGTCAAAAATTGGACGGTCTCTATTTAATCTCGAGGCATTAGTTTTTTCTAGCACATAGAGAATTTTCTTCTGAAACGTTTTCTCGCTGAGATTATTCCAGGGGTTCTAGATGTTACACCTCCGAAACTTGAGAACTAAAAAGTATGCATAGCATGTATTTTACCCAAGGGAGTAAATGGATAGTATACTCCCATTTAGGCATAAATCATTGAGGACTGTTTTTTCACAAACTAACAAATCATGTCAGCTTTCATTAATCATTGTAAACAAAGAATGCCAAGTCAATTTTCAAATCACCTCACTAGTAGAACATTTCTATTCTTTTTAATTAAAAATAGGTACCAAGCCCAAAACCACAAATTCATAAGATGAAAAGTGTATTTTAAAATTTTAAAAATTGGAGTTCACATTATTAGACAATTTGCTTCTTTGTCAACATGATCAATGATATGCTAGTGGACCCTAATTTAGAGAGGAGCCTTTAATAAGCTTTCAACACCAACTCTTCTAGTATTGAGACCAATAGCTCTCATGAAGATTATTTATTTGATTTATTTTTAATTGGGGTTGTTTTTTTCTACTATAAATTTTTTATGTTTAGCAATTTTTGTGGATAGGGAGATGCCCACGTGATGTTTTATTATTTGGAAAAGTTCTTTGTTTATATTCTTAGGGAGACACTGATGATTGATTAATGAGAAAATGGTACACGGGTGTATAGAATATGGTACACTGTGGGGTATCTGTATAGAATATGATACACTGTGGGGCATCTCTAGTATGACTTATTAGTAAGAGAGCATTCTATATACCAATTTCTATGTACACTATTAAGGTATCTTAGTAGGTTCCTTTGAAAGTTGGTGGATGATCTCTAGGGTACCCTACAGCGTAGGTATATAGGTCATAATTTCCCTAAAGAATCCTGGTTTGGTTAGCATAAGGCCCAGGCCTTATTTTAAAAAGTAAAGGCATGTATCAAAACCTCACCTGTAAGTGCAATTTTTGTGTTAATGACGTGAAAGTCTATTTCTTGATCTTGATAATGAAATTTGAAGTTCCAAAATTTGTGTGGATAAGGTAGGTTTTCGAACACTTGGAAATGGACAGTCTAGTTAATGTATTACATGATATATTATTTTTAGAGCTTGAAATTTATATATCTCTCTAGAGATATATCTTTTTCCATATATATTAGATAAATTATGGACTTAGTTTTATAAACGGTGTTGTTGCGTTTTAGTGGCTAGGTCCATTACTGTTACGTAGAAAAAATGACTGTTATCGACAAAGGTGAAAAATAACAAATTTATAAGCGTCATGGTTTCTATAAGGCTAAGGTCCTAAACAATCTAACTAAAGTGCACCTTCAAATAGTGTCGAAAGATTAATGTCGAAAGATGTCGTTTCAGTATCGAAAATTTTTATGATGGCCTGAAAATTTATTTTTTATTTCTAATTATAAAATTTAAAGCTTTAAAAATAGTGTAGATCAAATAGATTTATGAACACTTGAAAATCTTGAAAATTAATGGTCTAGATAATACATTACAAAATGTGCTATTGCCAAAACTTGAAATCAATGTTTTTAACATCCATGTATCTCAAGATTGAGATGATCAGATTTGAGAATTTTTCAGCATCGAAACAACTTCTTCTAGTGGATTTTTGAGGTGCGCCTTAGTTTGATTGTTAAGGCCTCAACCTTATATAAACTTTTTTCATTTATAAAAGGGTGCGGTTTGTATAAGTTGTCAACTTTAAACAATCAAAATAAGGAGCATCTCAAAATCTTTCTAAAAGATACGGTTTAGGTGCCAAAGATACTTACAATAATGTAAAAATATATTTTAGCACATAATTATAAAATTTCAAGCTTTAAAAATGGTGTAGATCAAACAAATCTATAAACAAAATTTTTGAAAATGAACTGTCTAGATAATGCATTATACTATACAATATTTTTATGACTTTGAAATCCTTTTTTTGTTTTTCATATACATTCATCTCGATGTTTATGATCAATTATAAGGTTTTTCAATGTCAAAACAACATTTTTTGTTGCATTTTTTGAGATGCTATCTAATTTCTACACTGCGAGGTTGATAACTTATATAAGCTTTTTCCTTTATAAAAATGGCTGCTTTGTCATGGAAATAATAGTTGGTAATTAGATATGGATAAATAGAGAGAAAACATCAGAAAAATGGGAACTTTCTTTTCTTTTCAAAATTTCCAGGGGAAAATCTAGCCATTTAGACATTTAAAACGTTTTTTCAACAAAACATTTCGGGTAAATAACATCTTAAGAAACATTATATAACATACCACTATGTTTTTTGAAAAAGGTTTCTATACTTCCCCTATAACATAGAAGATATATACTTCTCCCCCATTCAGCCATCCAATTCACATGAAATTCGGTACATGTCATCTTCTCAATGGGGCGCACCTTAAAATAATATTAATTGTTTTTTTCAATAAAATATAATAACTAAAATACCCCTTAAATCTTTCAGGGGTATTTTGATCATTTTATTTTATTGGCAATATTTATTTTATACTTTTTAGAAATACGAGTTTAAGAGAGCAGTGGACGCCCAAAATTTGATGTTAAAATAATTTGTAGAAAAAAATAAAAAATAAAATAACGCAGAGATGTAATATTGTTATTGAGGTCATCTCAACCATTCATTTAGAATGAACGGTTAGACAAGGAAAAATATATAAATTTATGCTGTACGGAACCATAAAAAGCTTGCCCCTAATTTTTTCTCGTGAACCATGGGCCATGATTTCAAAATCCAAATCTCATGGGACTTGTGAACTTTTACCCTAATGTTTTTCTTGTTTTGGGCAAAAATACATGCTGAGTTGGGAGTAGTTGTAATTATTTTTCAATACTTTTTGGAAAATTGGAGTAAACATCCCATCGTTTGAGTCTGATAATTAATTACACAAAGCTTACTTCCTTGAATTATGATATTATTCTCTTGTCAACAACCGACTTTAGAGAATATTTCTTGAGAGATATATAGTCTAGAGAGAGAAACTGCGTATGACATACTCTCTCTCTCTAGACACGAGAGAGAGACCGTATGAAAAAGTGCTCGACCACTCGGAAGATGGTAATTCTTTCTAGAAAAAAGTTTATATAAGAATGCTACTTTATAATGTAGAACTACGGATGCTCCTAAAAAATCTACCGAAAAAGTAGTTTTAATGTTGAAAAACCCTTTGATTGATCATCTCGACATCGAGATATATGACTATGAAAAATAAAAAGATTTTCAGTCTAAAAAATAGTGCATTTTACAATATATTATCTACACCGTCTATTTTCAAGATTTTCATATGTTTATAGATCTACTTGATTTTAACCATTTTTGAAATTTAAAATTTTAGAATTAGATATAAAAATAGATTTTGAGATAATCCTAAGAAAATTTTACATCAAAATTATATACCATGATAAAGTTTGAAGGTGCACCTTTCCTCTACACCTACGGATGCATCCGTAGGAAAACTGCACCCTTCTTTCTATATTAAATAATATTTTTGGATATTATAAAAAGAAATTCTTGG